TATGCAGAGGGGCGGGATAAAAATAAAATTTATTATTATTATTATTATTATTATTATTATTCATTTAATTGTTAGGAATATTATATTTCCTCAAAGCTTTGTCACCCCAAGATCTTTTTATACATCTGCAAAGGTTAGGGTTACTCCAAGTCTGATGTTACCTCCCCTTTGTGTATGGATGGTGCCATTCTCTGTATTGGTATACATATTTTCATATAATAATAATAATAATAATAATAATAATAATAATAATTTATATTTATAACCTGCCCATTTGCATAGCAACCGGGGCAGCATACATCAAAATTTTAAAACAAACAGCAGTTAAAATACATCTTCATCCTAACCCCTAACCCTCCCACCCCTTAAAACTAAATTAAACTAATACAGAGTTAAAATAATGATTAAAACAGCATAAAATACACTATCAAAAAACAGTACAAATACAAAAAGAAGAATTAGAATTTGAAAAACCTCTGACACAAGAAACTCAACATATGATATCAAAGTTATATAAATTATTACTGAAAGTAGAGATGGAGACAGAAACGGTCAAACAATATATGATAAAATGGGCTCAAGATGTGAAAAAAACAATAATGATAGATGAGTGGGAAAAGAATTGGAAGAAAAGACTGAGTTATACACTTAGCTATGAAGTAAAAGACACAATACAGGTGGTATTTAACGCCTGAGAAGATATCAAAGATCTGCCAGAAAAATAGTGGTGACTGTTGGATTTGTTCAAAATCTAGAGGTACCTATATGCATATGCAGTGGGAATGTGGAAGAACTGAGAAATTTTGGTCACAGATACAAGCAGAAATAGAAAAAAAATAAATATCAAGATAAATAAACAATCCACCACTTTTTTATTAGGTATGTTAGATGAAAATACAGAAAAAAGATTCGGGAAAATTATATTTTACATGTTATATGCAGCAAGAAGTACATTGGTGAGAAAATGGAAAAGTAAAGAAGCTCCTACTCTGCAAGACTGGCAGTACAAATTATATGATACAATGGAATTAGAAAAAATGATGAGTCTCCTGAAAGGATATACAAAGAATAAATATGAAAGAGACTGGCTACCGGTAACAAATTATTTTAAGGATTTATGCCATGGGGTGAAAACAGTGTGATTGCTCTGAAAGACTAAATTGTATTGAATTGTTGATAATTTATATGAACACCTTAATTGGGTTAGAAAATAAGTAATGTATAGAACATATTGAAGCTGGTGGCAAATAATTACAGTTTTGGACTTTAGAAATGGGTGTCCATAACAAAAATGATGATAAGTTACGGAATATTAAAACTGATAAGATGTATAGTATAAAATATGATACAGATTAATAGTATTAGAGAACAGATTATAAGTTCAGAAAGGAAAAATCTAAAAGTTGACTAAAAATATTAGATATTCCTAGTAAAGGAAGGGAAGTTTCTTTTATGTAAGTTTGTTTATGTGGTATTTGTTAGTACTAGATGTATGTATGTATGTATGTATGTATATTTAGATAATTAGAATGTCCTATGTCTATATGTGAATTTTAATATGTGGAAATAAAAAACAAACAAACAAAAAGCATAAAATACAATATAAACAGCTTTATAGCAAACAGGCGGTGACAGCAGGAGGGGCGAGTAGCAAAACTCCTCCATTAGCCGGGAGGTTATTCCGGGAAGGCCTGCCAGAAGAGATCCATCTTTAATGCTTTTTAAAAGCTATCCAAAGAGGTGATAAGGTGGATCTCGTCCAGCAGGCCATTCCATAGTCTGGGAGCGGTTACAGAAAAGGCCCTTTGGGAGGTCTGCACCAGCCTAGTCTTCATAGGCTGCAGCAGGTTCCTCCCAGGGGACCGGAGTGCATGGGGGGGATATCATATGGGAAGAGGTGGTCCCCCAGATAAGATGGATCCAAGCCCTATAGGGCTTTAAAGGTTAAAACCAACACCTTGTACTGTGCCCGGAAACTGATCGGCAGCCAGTGGAAAGATTTAAGCACGGGTGTTATGTGCTCTCTCCTAGATGTTCCTGTAATTAACCTGGCTGCCATATTTTGTACCAGTTGAAGTTTCCGGGTTAGGCACAAGGGTAGCCCCATGTAGAGTGCATTACAGTAATCCAGGTAAGGGTGCAGTTGGCACATCAGCCGAAGCTGATAACAGGCACTCCTGACCACCGCATTCACCTGACTAGTCATGTGAAGTGACGAATCTAGGAGTACCCCCAAACTGCGAACACAGTCCTTGGAGGAGAGTGTGACTCCATCCAGGACTGGGAGCTGTATTCCCAAATCTGGTTTTGGGCCTGTGACTGTCAGTACCTCCATTTTGTCTAGATTAAGTTTCAATCTGTTTTTCCTAATCCAATCCATTACCGCTCTGAGACGGTCATTGAGAGGAGAGATGCTATCTGAAGTCTGAGCCGATGATCTGGTCATGGAGAAATATATCTGGGTGTCATCAGCATACTGATGACACCACGCTCCATGCCTCCGAATGATCTCACCCAGCGGCTTCATATAAATGTTAAATAGCATTGGGGACAGGATGTCGCCCTGAGGGTTGCCACAATTAAGCTCTATTTTGGAAGAGCAACTGTCCCCGAGCCTCACCGTCTGGGATCTGCCTGAGAGAAAGGAACGGAACCACTGCAAAGCAGTGCCTCCAATTCCGAACTCTCTCAAGTGATCCAAGAAGATGGAATGATCTATTGTATCAAAGGCCACTGAGAGATCCAAGATCACCAGCAGGGTCACACTACCATGGCAGTCTCATCCTGTCCTGAAGCCGGTTTGAAATGGATCAAGATAATCGGTTTCTTCCAAGACAGCTTGAAGTTGGGAAGCAACTGCCCTCTCGATCACCTTGCTCAAAAAAGGTAGCAAGGAAACTGGTCTGTAGTTGTTTCTAGGGAAGATTTTTTTTCAGGAGTAGCTTAACCGCCACCTCCTTCAAGCAAGATGGTACAATAACTTCCCTGAAGGACGCGTTGATTGTATCCCATAGGAATACTCTCAATGCGTTCCCCCCCCCCCAGACAACCAGCCATGATGGACATGGAGTGAGAGGGCAAGTCGTCTTCCTCATTCTTCCAAGAAGCTTGTCCACGTCATCAGTACTCACAGATTGAAGCTGATCCAGTAAAATGCCCTCAGCAGAGTTGCTGGACACCCAGTCTATGGATTCTGTTGAAACAATGGTGTCCAAGTCAGCTCTTATCCAAGAGATTTTATATGCAACGTGGATGTTAAACGCATCACAGCAAGCTGTTGTTGGGTTAAGTGGGGGGTTTGGCACAAGAAAAACCTTTGTCAGCTCCCCCACCACCCTAAACAGCTCTGCTGGACAGGACTCTGCAGATGTAATCTCTTCTGTAATCACTTAATGCCTCCCGGTAGGAATCAAGATGCTTCCTATGGCGAGTTCTGTCGGATAAGAGTTGGGTCTTCCACCATTTGCACTCTAGTCATCCAGCTCGCTTCATCCTCCTAAGCTCCTCTGTATACTAGGGCCTATGATTAGAAGCGGGCTGGAAACGATGCTTGAGAGTGATTGTGCCGATAGCCTTGGTAAGGACAGTGTTCCAGGTGTTCACCAAGGCCTCGACAGAATCACCAGTGTTACCAACCATTAAACCCTCTAAGGCCTTCTGAAAGTCGATTGGTTCCATTAACCTTTGAGGGTGGACCATTCTAATGGGTTCGCCACCCCCGGGAGGGCAGACAGTAGCTCTTAGCTCCATCTTGACCAGGAAATGATCCATCCATGACAATGCGGAGGTTTTTATAACCTCTGTCCACGGATATTCCTGTTCCATACTAAAAACTGCATCAAGGGTATGACCAGCACAATGTGTGGGCTCGTCAACCAATTGGGATAGGCCCATTTTTGTCATGGTATCCATGAACTACCAAGCTGCGCCAGTTAGATTTGACAAGCTGGTCTTGGGTGGAATGTTGAAGTCACCCAAAACCAGAAATCTGGGCAACTCCAACAGCAGCTCAGAGACCAGCTGAGTCAGCTCAGTTAGGGAGTCTGTTAAGCAACGGGGTGGCCAGTATACCAACAGAATCCCCAAACTATCTGTGGTTTTCAGGCAAGTTGAAAATAATTCGTCCCTAACTGATAAACACAAAAGTGTGAAATTTAAGGTGTTTGTATTTAGTTGGCTGCAGTGTGAAAACTACTTAATTTTGGATGAATACCAAAGCAATTTGGTAGGTTTCGGTGGGACCTCTCAAGATGTCAAAATTATGTATGATTTGTGACTGGACTAAGTAAGCCATTTGAGTTTGGTTTAGTTTGGTTTAGTTTCCTTCCATAACCAATACTTTTATAAGAAGGAAATAAAATTTAGCTCTGGAGGACTATTAGCAATGACAACTTTAACAAGGGTATAATGGAAGGGTAATGTTTGACTATTGGACAAAGGGAGAATACAGGCAAATAAAATTATATTCACTTATGGCTTTAGACTGCTTTATTCTTTAGTCTTGGGCTTGACATGGATAATGTATAAAGGCATGGGTTGTGAAACAATATCCTGAGTTGGGAAGCTATTGATTGTCATGGATTTTTATTCTTTAATGAAGATTGAGTCAAAATGTCCAGCACAAGTAGTTGGTGATTCACCTACTCTAGTATCAACTGGCAAAGGGAATGATGCATTTAGTTCCATCCAACTGCTAGTACTATACACACCAATTGGCCCAACTCAGGGATTGTGCAAAGTCACTGAATGAGCAAGGTAATCCATTGCTTTTTGTGTGTGAATGTTGCTCTTTGTGGCATGGGGTAAATAACTACAAGTAAAAATAAGGTGTTTTTAAAGTATATGTTGTTGCTGTGTGTCTTCAAGTGGTTTCAGACTTATGGCAACTCTAAGGCAAACCTATCACAGGGCTTTGTTGGCAAGATTTGTCCAGAGGGGGCTTTGCTTTCCTCTGAGGCTAAGAGAGTGTAACTAGTCCAAGGTTACCCAGTGGGTTTCCATGGCTGAGCAGAGATTTGAACTCTGGTCTCCAGAGATGTAGTCCAACACTCAAACCACTACACTACGCTGGCTCCCTTTTAGGTATATATTATGTATACATCCCTATATACAAATGTGGACCTGAAACTATTTGTTAGGTCCAGTTGGAATAGACCCATTAAAATGATGGGAACTTGGAAAGCAAATGTGTATGTAAGGTTCACTGATTCTTTGGGTTTATTCTGTCCTAGACTAACATTGAAATTTGACCACTGCTTTACTGAATTTACAGGATTTTTCTGTTTCCTTTTTCATTGCTGGAGAGTAAAATATTTGAAGCAGTTGGTATTTCGGGGTGTTTAAGACCTTGCTGACAAGAGAAGAACATGCAGTGCTTGAATGATTATAGAACTTTCTTTTGGAATTTGGGTTTTATATTATTTTTGTTTTTTACCCTTACTTTGCTTTCATTTATTGTTTTAAAATCTATGCAAGCCTTTGGAAACAGACTGGTGTGTGTGTGTGGAGGAAAAGTAATGTAAATGGCTTATTTCACTGGACAAAACAGAGTGCTAGCGGAGACTATAGGTACTTTTTGCATCATGGAGGCTTATTGTACAAATGGTACCACAGAAATGTATGATATTTTGTATGCATTGTGGTAAAGAATGGTGCAGCAAAGTAGAAAGTATGCTATGCCGTTAATGCACATCTTGAAAAATAGGGATAGGTAGTTGTGCTTGTCACAATCTGGGGGCCTGGGGGGAAATAACCAAGCCTTTCTGAAAAGTCTCTAAACCTTCCCTGCTATTTCTGCTGGTTGCTTCCCTTCTCCTGCTCCCATGCCTGGTGTTTAGGTTGTCCATACACTAATGTATGAGCATGCACTCATTCCATTGGAGGACAGACCTGCAGTCTTACAATCCATCACCTTGTTATGCACCCATAAATCCTATTCACCTCAGTGGGTTTAAGACCAACTTAACTGTTTCTGACACAGCGGCCGTGTTCCTGCACCCAGTTAAATGTCCATAAGTATCATTTGTCTCAGCTGGACATATGTGTATGTAATTCACTGCAGGGCTACAGATGTAACATCAGTCATAGAGCCATTCTCTTTCCCTCAACTACCTGAAAATGTCATATCTTTGCAAAGATGCACTGTGGTCTAAAAGCAGGGATTTTAACTTAAATCGGAGGATGTATCTAGTTCACACACTGCACAATTCTAGCAGTATAATAAGCATGGCTTCATCCTAGGGAATCCTGGGATCTGTTGTTTAGGGAGGGAATTAAAATATTTTCCGAAACAGTTCTAGTGGTAAATTGGGTTTGTTGTTCCCATAATGTTTTGGGTTTGCATATCTCTTTGAGTAATTTTAACCCTTGTATTGTTCACACATACCATTGTTTTGGGCTAAACTGGAGCTGGCTCCTTCCTTTTACAATACAGAGTGATCCGAATCAATTTGGAAGCATATTCACACTGTGAAGTCATAGGCTTTCATGGCCAGCATCCATAGTTTTTGTGGGTTTTTCGGGCTGTGTGGCCATGTTCTAGAAGAGTTTCTTTCTGATGTTTCACCAGCCACAGATATTGGCGAAACATCAGAAAGAAACTCTTCTAGAACATGGCCACACAGCCCAAAAAAACCCACAAAAACTACATATTCACACTGCTAACAATGCGTATCAATGAGGATCTTTCACACACACACACACACACACACACACACACACAAAGTGCATTGAGTCCATTCAGGACTTGTGTGAAAACCAAGGATTCAACCCAGATTCATCCTGGATTATTTTCATAGTGTGAATATGGCCTCTGTCATTTGGAAAGCAGCTAAATCATGTTTCCACCCTATCCTGTGAAGGACCCCTTTTGTAACAGACAGGAGCAAGTTTTCTATTGCAATTCCCCTTGTACTGCAGAATGCTTATCCAAAGGGAAGTGGGAGTGTCAACAAGGCACGTCCTGATGGACAGTGGTACAAACCCACATTGATCACAGTGGCTGCTTCCCAGTAAGTGGGATTGGGGGGCTTTTGCAGTTCCTACATTACCACTAAATTTTGAGCTATGTAGGGATCATGAATACATAAACGTTATTAATGTGTAATTCTAGATCATGCATTCATAACTGCCATGGAGGAGGAGGAGGGGAGGATTGTTTGCAGAAAAAAGAGTGTATAACCACACACTACTTTTGAACATAAGCCAAATCAATATAGACTAGACATTTTCTTTAAAAGAAAAAAAAAAAGGGGGGGGGACGTGGAGGCATCTGCTCTGCTCTATAATAAATATACAATAGGATGCATAAAACCACAACCAGTCACCCAAGTCAGTGCTTGAGCCCTTAATATTGCTCACTTTCTTGTCCTGCATTTCAACCTGAAGATCGCTTATACTGGAGGATTTATCTGTATTTTGATTGCAAAGCCCTGAATAATTCCTGGGCACTGCTTTTGTCCTTTTGTTACTTATTTCCTTCTACTGTTCATTAAGATTAACAGGGATGAAAAACCAGGGCCAAACCTACTTAATGGTATAAATATCTGATTTCAATTCATATTATGCCATGGAAAAAAAAAATATTAGGACTGGGGGAAACAGCTCATCTTTATTGTTTATTTAGCCCCAGAATTTTGGTATTTATTATTCCCCTCCCCTTAGGAATAAGAGAATTAAGAACACTTTTTGCTATTTGATTAAATTTCCCATGTCTACTAGAGGTACACCGATTTTCTATTTATATGTTAGAGGCAGGCCATTAATTTTAAAGAGTGTTCATAGAACCCAAGCAATAATGTTCTAATAAAATCAGAATGAAACATTTCAGTATGTGCAAAAGTCAGCTTTAAAACAAAAGATACTCAGGATTTTAAAACTCCAGGTGCCCTCTGCAAATGAGAAAAATTGGTTTTCCTCCCAAGAAGAAGAATGAAGTCACCTGGGAAGTAAACCCTGGTATGTGAAGCCTCCATACTGTGTCATTACATTGTGGAAATGAAGCAACTGCAGGCAGACAAAATGTGAACTGGTATTTGTATTATGTCAGGCAAAAATCTTTCCTCTGTATGGGAAATGAACAAATTTAAAAGTGCAACACTGAGTAACAAAAAAAATTACTTCAAAAGGAATCGACATAGGCTGAGCCAGCATGGTATAGTGATTTAAACATTGGACTGAAGGGGGATGCAGACGAGGGCGTCAGAGACGCCCTGGTCCGGACCGCCGCCGGAGTTCAGCCTCCGGACGGCGGCGCATCCCCGGCGCATCTAAAAGGACCGCCAAAATGGCGATCCTTTTAGATTCTCCGGAAAGTGCACCCTAAAAGCGGCGGGCGCACTTTCCGGGGCTCAAACGCCGCGGCGCATTCGGCTGCCGCGGCATGAGGGCAACCCGCTTCCGGGCGCACCCTCAGGAAGAGGAAGAGCCGCCGAACGTGCGGCGGCTCCTCCTCTTCCGGGCCTTGGAGACGGCGCAATTAGCCGTCTGCCGAGGCCCTAAGACTCTGGAGATGAGGATTTCAACCACCACTTACTGATTGAATCCTACTGTGCAAATCACACTTTCTCAGCCTTAGGGAATGGCAATGGCAAACCCTCTCTCAAGGAACTTGCCAAGAAAGCTCCATGGTAGGTTCACATAAGGTCTAAATAAGTTGGAAACTACTTGAAGGTACACAACAAGAAGAATTAGCTCCATTTTACTTATAAACACTGGCACCCTGTGGTTAATTTCAGCTAGAGGAAACCCATTTAATCAATTGTTGAATAGTGACTCAGAAATTGTTCTAGGTAAAATCTAACAACAAGCACCTACAATGCAGAATTGATGCTACTTAACACAACTTTAACTGCTATGGCTTAATGCTATGAAATTTTGGGATTTGTCATTTTGTGAGATATTTAGCCTTTTCTCTTGAGAGCTCTAGTGCCACAACAAACCAGGCTTCCATAGGATGGGCCATGACAGTTGAATCAATATCAGACTGCATTAATTTTGCAGTGTGGCAGGAGCCACAGTCAAAAACCATGTCCTTTCCCCAAAGAAATGTGGCAGTGAGAAGAAAAATACTACAGATGCAATACCCCCCACCCCGTATCTCAACAAACTACAATTTAAAGGGTGCATTGAAGAACACATGAAGGTTACAGTGATGTAAACCACATCTATGTGCATCATAGGATCATGATTGTGCCTCTTAGGCCTGAAACAGACACGCAAAAATCACAACCTTCGGGCCAATCCAGGCATGCGGCATGCAAATGACACATGCCCCCAGATTGGCTGAAACCACACAGAAGCTGGCTAATGCAACCCAAACCCAGCTGCAATAGGAGTGGTGGTAGTGGCTGGCCTGGGGACCATGGTGTATGATCACTGCAGTCCCATGCCTATCAGGGCTTGCTCATGGCTGGAATGGCCAGAGGCCACTCCTAGCTGCTCATCTGCTTGAGCTCTTAGTTAAGGCTGAGGGCTTGTCTATACCATCTAAATAATTATGATACAATGTGAGTAGAATCTCTTCTGTTCACAACCAATTTTAACATATTTAATTTACTTTGGGGTGGCTATCTAAAAACCCATAAATATCAAATTAAACAAATTCAGGGGGGTTTCTTTGTATCTGGAAGGATGAGAATTACATACTGATGGTGGGAATTTTCAATGTGAATGTATTTGTATAGCCAGGTATTACATATAGAATTGTGGGCATTTGTGTGGAGTGGCAGCACATTTCAGCTCACCTGACCTTTTCCTTCAGTTAAGGAGAATCCCCCCCTTTTATTAATAGTGAAGCACCATTTTTGAAAGAGTCTTTGTATGTGCAAGGTCATCTATATGCTGCTGTGTTCATATGTATTATATATATTTTGCTCCTTATTTTAACTCTACCCTACATCTGATCTTAAAGCCTTTTGTACCATTCCTCCAGTTGGAACCATTATCTTCCCAGTTCCCCTGTGCTCACAATTTCTTTTTAAAAAATCCTAGTTCTTTTTTTCCTTATTACATGGGGATTGTTGTTGTTGTTGTCAATCACCCTAATTAAAGAGCAATTGCCAATTCTGAGAGC